AAAGCTAGACAAAAGATCCCAGTAAACAAATTGATTTTTGAATCAACAAGTCAGTAATGAAAAAGCAATAAACCTAATTGTACAAACAGCAATCACGGAAAAAATCAAGAACATGGCTTACCTTCTTCGCTTTCCGACTCCTCTGAGCTCCCTTCTTCGGTAGATTCCGACTCATACCCACCAGGAGCAACGACCTCGGCTTGCTGAGCTTCAACGTCCGATATTCCAAAATGCTCCACAAACGTGTGTAGAAGGTTTCGCAGATGGAAAAAGTTCACGGGCCCAATTTCAGGGCTAATTGCCATGTCTAACAAATCTGCTACTCCAACAGTCATTTTTCAAAGTTCAAAGAAAATTTCGAACATAAACTAAAACGAAACTATTTGCTTTCAAGACATAAGTTTTAAGTTGAAGTTTTGCAGCACCATTGAGGGAATTTGTCCAAACAAATGGCACCTTCAAACGCACTAAGCAACACTTTCCCCGAGGGAATCATGGCACAGAGGACAAAAGCACAAAGATTAAAGGCTTTTGAAATCGTCCATTGACTGGTTGAAGGCTTTATAATCGTCCATTGATGTTTTGAACACTAATCTTGGACAAGGGAAGGCTCTTGTGCGTTGCCATAGTGACAGATAATGCCGGGGGTTAAAGTTAATTAAAGTAAAGTGAGTGGTGTCGATAATTAGTTGTACACACACCACTAAAACATCAGGTATTCAGTTTAAATACATAAAGGTTATTTTTCGCTTTTAAACCTTCTCAAGGAGGTTCAATTCAGATTATAAATTGAATGAAGAGCTTTCTTATCTAAAGTAAAAATAATCTTTGCGGAGTGCTAGCAAACACTGTGCCATATACAAAAAATTTAGWCGCTTATCCATAGCTTAGAGGTCATTTAACAGATATATATACCTACTGATTGAGACGATTGAATTTGAATATTCAAACAAAAAAAACTTTTCCATTTTTAGAGAAAAATATTTTGATGCATCTATAGTGAATTTAAATTATGAAATTTCCTTATGTGTGTAAATACCACAATAAAAGAACTCACATTTTAATTAATGTCCATTTTTTCATGGATAACATTTACTCTTCCAAAGCTAATGAATAATTCATGAGCTATTGGCCCAATAAGAGTTTTTCACTCAGACATTGGTTTTGTATATCAACATACATCACTGATGTTTTATTCATCAGTATTGTATCAGATTTACCAAACAGTTATCCATGTTGTGATGTGAATGCAACAGGCGACCCAACACTATCAAACTTTTCAGCTTTAATAGCAGTGGCGACAGATCCTCACAAGGTTTTGTCCCTGATTAGCACTGAAAACATGAATTTTCATGTTTGTAGTGTCAGCAATTACCATTTCCTTTAAGCGCATAAGTGTATATACGAATATAAAAGGGCTCCTTGCAATCAACTACTAAACATTACTTACATTCAATTCTTACTTCATGCTTCAGCACATGTGTTGTTTCCTTGGAAAAGATGATCACACAGCTGTTTAATAATCAAAATAATTCAATAAAATTAAGTTGWATTTATCATACCACCTGTACAATTTAGGGTTCCCTAAGGAGTGCACATGAATGCCATATTTATATTCATCTAGGAAAAAATAAGTAGAATGAAATAGAAAAAAACACCAACTTGAAGTTATAATAACTCTGCTTATTGGACGTTTCGGCACTTCTGCCTTCTTCAGCAAACTCTAGGAAAAAATATATATATCAAAAATGTATGGCATCAGATACATGAAGGAAAACAGTCAGGGGTGCTAAGAGACGGATGTGGTATGAGGAGTAGTGGTGGTGGTGGTGGTGTGTTTGTGTGGGTGGAGGAGGGGTGGGGCTGATGCTCAATACATTACCTTCGACTTGCTATTTGTTCCTTGACTTGTTGCTTCTTCATGGTTCTTTATTCATTCACGAGACTGATACAAAGCTTGTTGGCTAAAATGAAACACAACATCAATTTGATGAAAGAAAATGCAATATTAGATTTGTCAATTTGCTAAGAATAACAGCTTGAAAAGGAAATAATAGCTGGAATAAATCGAAAAATTCTATACCTTCAAATCCTCATCACGTGTGTGATCWAAAAGCACACATTTCTGACCTTTCGCCCTCCATAATCCTGCCGAAAAATCTGTGAAGCAAACTTCTTTCTCTTTTYCAGTGTCMAKAACATATCGTTGAAGTCACAGGACAAATAGACTTGGAAATAAAGMACAAASAACTTCAATTTTCGCGCCAATCGATCTGTTCTGTTAACWAAAGCTCATCCCTACCCCTCCCTAGAGACGATTGCYTTACCATACGAYTGCGCATGACTGAGGGGATAACCCGCTGTATGTATATATAAAGATGATCGCGGGCCTRTAGAGTCAAAGCACTGCAAAATGCCGACAAAAAAGAAGAAGTTCAACGCTCGTTTTCCTCCGGTAAGGATCAAATGTTTTTGAATTTGATGCTTGGGATATTTGCCTGATGGCATATGATTCCTACTGCAGGCTCGTATCAAGAAAATCATGCAAACAGACGACGATGTCGGCAAAGTCGCGGCTCCAGTTCCCGTGATCATTTGTATCCTTGAAAAGTTCATGATTTGCAATTCTATGAGTTAATTACATCGAAATGTTAACTTATTCACAACTAAAGCATATATTGTGCTAGTTGCACTACTATCTAGTCCCTTCAACAAACATTAATATCGTCAAAATATTTTATTTGTACGACACGGWTTTCACCACGCATTTGCAATGGTAGGAGACGTGACCGTTGTTTCTGCCAATTTGAGGTCAATTTTTAATTAAAAACTCACYGAAAAATACCAAAAAATTGTGTGACCTTTATCTRACACTGTCCTACAAATCAAGRCATTGTAGCTGTAAAAACAACAAGGAAATTACTAGGGACAGATAAATATTTTTAGTACACTTTGTTTATTTCCTTGATGCGAAATTCCGATCTTTAGCCAAGGCTCTTGAAATGTTTCTACAAACGATGGTCGAGAAATCATGTAGTTATACTCAAGCTAGAAATGCTAAGACCCTAACGACAGCCCATATGTAAGTTTACTTTGATTTTTAGAATATTAACTTTGTTATTTTATAAGTTRAATGTCTTCGCTTTAACATAAAAAAATTCTATGGTCGGATTTTTTTTCTTGAATTCTTCCTGAAATACCTGTAAATTTAAGTACTAATTTTCCWAAACGAATGCGAAATGCAATATTTGATATGTCTCAAAAAAYATGAWTTTTTTTCTTTTTCCTTGTTGATTATATTCACTTTACTTTSTTAGTAAGTAGGTATTCTAAAAAGGATCTTGAATAATGAGATCCACTTAATGTTTACAAAAATGACATTTTATCCACCTTTTAGAACCTGTTATGAAAACTGTTGAACCAGTTGAACTCAACAATCACTCTCACTAATTTCAGAAAAAAATGTATCAACTCAGAACAGCAGTTCGATTTTCTAAAAGATTTGGTTGAAAAAATCCCTGACTTGCCCGAGGAAGAGGAGGATATAGATGGGGAAGCCAAGCCCAAGAGGTATATGAATAAGCACAAAAAGGAAAGCTCGACAATCAGTGAWTATTCCAAGTACCTGTTTCTCAATTTTTTGTTTCAAGACAGGTGTTTTGAAAATGTAAATTCCCAGGAAAAAAAAGATTTTTTCATTATTGTTTTCTCTCTCTTTATTTTTTGTGTAGAAGAAAAGCACCGGTGGCACCAAAAGAAAAGGAGCCAAAAAGAAAGAGAAAACCTAAAAAAGAAGAGCAGTTAACACTGTCTGACGACTCAGAAGATGATCAAGAGGATGACCCTCTAAGTGACGTAAGAACTTAAACTATTTTCTTTGATTGAAAATTGGGTTATATTGAAACAGGTTACCATGGAAACTGTCGGCTCTGAGAACAAGCTGTGTAACAGATAGGCAAACCTCATCTTTAGTTTGCCTTTCRTTAATGAATTTAGTCTAGTGATGTATTGTTTACATATTTTGAATTAAATCAGGAAAACTTCTCTCCAAATAATTAATAATGAGAGTCAGTAATACTTGGTTCTTGTAAGTAGCCTACAAGCAGGTTAGAAAGTGAGCATCAAAATGGCATTTCAATCTCCCTTTGAGAGCCTCACGTATGTAATTGGGCTGGACAAAAAATGTACTTTATAGTACCACTTGAGAAACCTTTTTCTATAATTACACTGGCAATAGCAAAACAGGTACCAAGTAAAAATAAATGAGTCCTCTGCGTTAACTAGTGATATTTTTAATACCGAGCTTTTGAGGTACCAAGTTATAACTACCTCCCCCTGTCTATACATATCCATAATCTGAATTAACTTTGTTCCATAATGAAATTGGTTTTAGGAAGAAGCATCAGCATCGACAGGTTGTCATAGCAACATGGCATTAAATAGTAGTGCCATTCCATCAGTGTCCTCAACCAATCTTTTACTATCATCAAGAAACCCAACAGATATACCAAGTATTACCATAACAAAACCTGAACCTTCAAACTCTAATAGGTGGGTAGTGATGATGTTTATAACCCACAAAATGATTCCCCGTTCTCAGGTCCATTGAGTCCATATAAATGTATAATACTGCAGTTATAACTCCAGTTATAACTCCAGTTATAACTCACAAAATGATTCCCCATTTAGGTCCATTGATTGCATCTATAATACTCCAGTTACGAGATCTTATTTGTGCAGCTTTAACCCTCGAAAGCATACAAGGAAGACAATAAAAATTTATGCTTGATTAAACCTAACCCTTCACAAAAGGGAATTTGAAACTGGAGTATTGGTGGTCATTACTCTGTATTTCCAATATTTTTTTGTTGATCCATAAATTCAAATACAACTGCTCACACTTGAATTTGATGAGCGTTTGAATTTAATTTTTACTGTGTGTTTTAGTGCTGCCCAACCTCTGTCTGCAGTTCAGCCAACATTCAACCATATACCAATGATGAACTCTAGTAAGTCTGTTGATGATGAAGATGATGATTACGATTCGTAACCATGGGCACTCTCTTCCTGTTCCCATAACAACTGTTTGTTTTGTTCCAGTTCAAAAGGAAGTGTATAGACTTTTTAAAATAGTTTGACAATGTTATATTAATTATTTTTAAAGCATGCTWAAATGCTCAAAGTTCGCCAATCACAAAACATGCCATAATTTTATAGTGATTGCAGCACAGTAGTTTTCAAAAAAACTAGACTTTRTTGATATTTTCAGTGTATCATTCCTAATTACACTTAAGCTTTGTTTCATTGGTTTTTGGAAATTTCTCAGTACATAACCTCCTTTAGGAAGGAGMATTGCGTRAAGACACAAGGGAAGCTTCTAAAGGAGGCTACTCTATACATAGCTGTCACAGGAACTGTCAAATGGTATCTGTACTTCTAGGGCTGGAAATAACTTTCTGTCAAAAGTTTTGAAAGGACAATTTGACTGGACATATTTTTGAGTTGATTATAGTTAGGCATTATAATCTGTAATTATTAAGGCTGATTGGTGGTCTGTTGTGAAATTGTAAACATCAAGAATGACTGGCCAAAGACATGAAAGGCCAACATCTGCCCAGCCATTATTTCCAGCCCTGTAATTCGCCATACACACCAAGGCAGTCGGACCAGGGAGCTGTGTTCTCATTAATTCAATCCCAGTCCCACACTCCAAGTTTGTGTTGCTTCGGAATCTTCTGAAGTCTTCTATGTCATATTGAGTAAAGGATAGATTATAATGCTAATTCTCTTTTATTAAAAGAAATGTGATATGGTTATCTATAGTCAATGGTTAGAGTATTTTCAATGTATTTTTCTCTTGTACACAGAATGTTTTCTGCCCATGGTCAAAATGATTTTTCTTTTTGTTGCTTTGGCAGTGCAAGACATGTTCAACCTGTGTAATGTCCTGCTATATTTTAAAACTATAACTAGAAACATCTTGCAAAAAGTGTGTAAAGGCCTATGTAAGTCATTCTTGCAACATAACTACAACTGTGGTCAGCTGTGGATCCAGGGCGTCATCTACCCCGGTTTTTATTCAACTTAAATGAGACAAGTTTTCTAATCTGCATTCAAACAAGCAGCACTCATATATTAAAAGCTAAGAAAATTTGGACCCCATTTTTGAAATTCAATTCAAAAATTCAATCTAAATTCCTACACTTGTAGCTATGTTGTAAGAGAGACATAAGCAGGTTGCATGCGATGTTGCACATTCAACCCGTTAAAAGGTGTTAATTAATTTCCTGTGAGATTTTTTAGAGTAGCAAATATAACTGCGACATGTTTATGATTGGCTATGTTGCATATTGCAATATTGCTGCCATATTGATGTCACATTAAAACTTTATTGGCTGATTTATTGACAGGAGCAAAAAATATTTGTGTACTAGGAGTTGCAATTACAGTTACTGCATATTCTGATAGTGTATCTAGAAATCTGAATCAATCTATTTTGTTTGCCAAAAAAATCTGAAATTTTCTATGTACAGTAATTTAAAATAAATCCATTTTATCAAGAATATTGTCAATTTTGGTTGTCTGAATGGAGTGCGTGTGGGAACCAATGTTTTCTTTACATCTGGGATCCCTGTGGAAACAGCTTAAGTTCGTATGACTGTGCAAAATAAATAAATAAATAAATAAATAAAAATAAACACAAAAAACACGGCACTTTCATATCGTGAGTTTCGAATCACTTATTTTCATTTCGCGTTGATACCATGGCGAGAATCCGTGACCTTACCGACCGTGCAACCCCGTTCCTAGCACCTTTACCCCTGGGAACGAGGTTAGTGAACGTGCCTAGCACTTGCTTTAGCTTATAACTAGCACATAATTTCACCATGGCAGTCCCCTTCAAATACACTAGAGCGGTTGTATGTGGCGTTCCTTCATCTTTACCAAAGAACGCTCTACGGCTCGAAGATCCAGGTGAACCAATCGACCTTGAAAAAGCCCGCCAACAACATTCGGATTACGTGAAAACACTGGAAAAGCTCAATTTAAAATTAACACATATCGAGCCAGACGAAGAACTTCCCGACTGTGTCTTTGTAGAAGATACTGCTGTTTGCGTTGGCAACAAGGCTTTGATTGCAAACTTGGGCCATGAAAATCGACGTGCAGAAGCCAAAAGAATGAAAAGCGCTTTGATTGACTTGGGATTCGATGTAACGTGCATGGAAAACCCTGCCTGTCTTGATGGTGGAGATGTGCTGTTCACCGGCCGCGAGTTCTTTGTTGGCTTGACCACTCGCACCAACAAAGAGGGCATGGAAGCCTTAGCTGCTGCATTCCCAGCTTTCCCCGTAAGCGGRATTAAAGTTGAAAAGCATCTTCACTTAAAATCCATGATGTCCATGGCAGGCGACGACCTCATCGTCGTGGGGAGTAGTTCTATGGCCAGCAATTCCTTTAAAGAGATCGAGTCAAAGGCAAAGTACAAATACCGWAAATTGGTGGTACCTGAAGATGTAGCAGCMAATTGCCTTTACTTAAATGGCACACTAGTGCATCCTTCAGCTAAAGAAATTCCCGAAAGCATATCAGTGCTTCAAGGTTTGCCAGGAGAGAAAATTGAAGCTGAAAATAGCGAACTGCATAAAGCTGATGGATGTTTGACATGCTGTTCTATTCTTCTCCAATAAAAATGACATGAGACAACTCATTTTTTAACAAAAGGCATTTCCATATTAATAAAATAGTCAGGTTGAAGAAGTTTTGTTGATTAAATAATGCAAATTATTCACAATGTTACAACACAGTGAACCTACATGAGCTGATGATTGTCTAAACTACAATTAATTTACACAATATTAAAAACATCTATATCATGCAGTTACCAGTATTTTTATAAGAAAAACTATGGACCAATGYCAATGCTAGGACATTTTACATTTTCTAGGGGATTAGGGTCAGTAGCCATCTGCATTTTGCACCACCTACAAGACTGAGAAAGAGAGTGGTGAAATGGCCCTGCAAATGACATGATTTATCACCCTTTCACTTTATTTTTCTGCTCTGTCTCCAAAATTTTAACCAATCAATCTATATTCTTACAACTTGAGCTGAGGAGTTTTGAAGAACATGTGACATAGATATATCTGTATGTGTGCTATCGGGTTTTACATGAAGTCTTGCATATGTTCCTCCTACTTGGCCCTTGGTAAGACGACCAGGATTCACACACAGACCACCAAGAACATCCTGAAAAGATGGATTAGAACTAAATTAGATATCTGTGGTTTTTAGCAAATTATTTTTTTACACATTTTTTTTACAAACATTTCAACCAAAAATAAACCTATGTGTTGTGTTTTGTCTACATTCATGTAAACTTTCAGGCTGCCATTTCTTCAACACTGAAAAATTTATGGCTGTTATTTCAGCTAAACATCACAAATACCTAGTTACCTTTGTGAAGTATCTTAAGTCAGACGGCAGGATTAAAATGTCGGGAGTACACGAAAAGAAGGAATATGCTGAATATTTCTCGTAGTCCATGTTCACCTCCTCACTCGGAGGGTGTAATGGGTAATAACTAAAAACAAAAAAACTTTATTAATGTCTGGAATTTTACAAGATTTTATTTTTTACAAGATTTTATTTTAACATTTCATTTCCAGAAAATCATAATAGTCCAACAATCAAAAAAGATAAAATCTTGATATCAAAAAAATATTTTTATGGTGCAACAGAAATCAGAATAATTTTATAGAAACAAATCCTATGTTACCTATGTTGGTAGAGAATGTGTTTGACCAGTCTTCCTAGTCTGTCAGATGCTCCTGGAGGGCTAAAATCAATAAAAAATCATTGTATCAAGTATTGCTAGGCAACTACACCCTCAACAAGATAACCAACTGGGTTTATTGACTGTCAATCATGCATTTTCCTATCTCTCCAACAACCATTTTTTTGAATTAAGTTACACATGACATTAGTAGTTGACTGTTCGATGTGAATAATATTGTAATAATCATTTTTGATTTTTCTTTTGGTTTACCTTGCTGTTTCTTCACTTCCCAAGTTGAGTAAGATATCAGTTGAAGTCAGCCCAATGGCTACATTATTGATCAAGAGAGTACAAGGATCTGACACAAAATGGACATTCTGGAAAAAATGGAAATGTATGAATCCACGACCAGCCTGTAGTCTACCATTATAATATAAATTAGTGATATATTGGATTCATTTACCTTGTTGTCTTGGTAACCATCAATCAAAAATGGTGGTTGTGGATAAACAAAGTCATGATGCACGTCTCTTTGGGATGGTACAAACACAACAGTTGTCTGCTGTCTAAGAGATAGAGAAATACATTGGCAAACAATGAGATTGATAAATACAGCACTAATATGGAACTCAAGTGCTCCACAATGGATGATTGAACTAATGGGAGTATTCAATATAGAGATGCTAAAGGAAGACAACAAGGGAAAATATAGATAAAACATATGAAAGAAGTTGGTAGGGAAAGGAAATAAGGAAATGAAGGCAGGAAGAGAGGAAGGGAAGTTGGGAAATAAGGGCATGGATAAAACAATAAGGAAAAAGCAATGCCTACTTTTCCAAAGCTTTCAAAATCCCTCCAACTTGTCTTTTGAACAGCTCTTCATATGTCTCCTCAAGGTCACCATTCTGATGAGCATTACATGTCAAAAGTTAGAGTGCATAATCTATCAACTTACTGTACTTACATTTAACTTTTTAGTCATAGTGCTTTACTTCTTACCTCAATTTTATCATGTTTGGCATCTACAAATGGACCAAGCTGCCAACAACAAAGGACAGGATTTAAAATTCTCAATTATTTGACAAAAGTACTGTTTATCATTATTATCATGTTTTAAGTCCAGAGAACTGGACAGATAACAACAACATGAGAAACATGGCAAAAAAAAGCTTCAACCTTCCAACTTCAACTGGTCCTCGCTTTTTAATATCACTACATTACCAGACTTACCAAAACAAGTACATCTGGTTTGTCTTTTTGAGCAACATTAATAAGATCAGTGAGTGGTTCATACATAAGACTGTCTGTTGTGGTAAATGGACCGGCTGCAACCATCATTGTAAAAGGATCAGAAGTCTTATGAAGAGTCTTTCCATTCTTATCCAGAGATGAATAAAAAGGCAACTGTGTTCCCTGTACAATGAGTTAATAATAAGATGAATAAACTTCACCACAATCCCTTATAAATCTTTATTAACTAAACTTGGCAAATATGGTTTTAGACACAGTCAACTCTTGGCCATGACAGACATCAGACAGACCTGTAGCAGTGAGTGATTTTCATTTATTTTTTTTCTTTAGAGGTTGTCCTAATATTGTCTGCAGGTAAGTAAGTGTATATGCAGGTCACCAGTTGACACTACTTACACATCTAAATGAACCATTAGCAATCAGCTATAGCCATAACCTCCAATAACAAAACAAGTTAAGTCTTTAGTAACTTTACCTTATAGATTTGGTTAATAACAAGCTTCTGTCCCGTGCTGTTGAGTCCTCTTGCTGCAATTATCTGAACAATATAGGGATTTATTCAATGATTTAATTAACGCTACAAGTCATGTGTTCCTGCTCTTAGACTTTTCTAAAGATGTAAGCTAAGTGCTTTTTTATTTCCAGGTACAGCGAGACTTTTCACTTGCATAGAAAAAAGGAAAAAAGTAGCAAATAAAATGGAAAAATACAGAAAGAGAGAAGGAGAAGAGCAAAAGAGAGGCTTGACTTGTTTCATGTCTACCAATTACTTGCYCTTCCTCTATAAAACTTGTACATGTACCTGTCCAGGGAATAAAGCAAACTGTTGCACATTTGACAGATCAACTTTGACTTGTTGGCCTTGACACAGGTCAAGAGAACCTTCCAACATGAGAGAACTGGCATTGAGTTTGCCAACAGAATCACAGCACACTCTACCAACAACATTAACATCAACCTACAGAGAGAAGTTAAAAGGGTATTGTTCAACAATAAAAAAGGGATCGAATAGAATAGGATAGGATAGACGGGAATGAATAGAATGGGAAGGAATAGAATAAGATACAGAGGAATGAAATTATATAGAATGGAGTATAGGATGGGATGCAATGGAATGAAACTTGATGGGATGTAATGAAATAAAATGGAATAGAAGAGGATGGGTTTATTAGAGTAAGTTGGAATAGAATAATATTAAATAGACTAAACCATGTTGGAGTCAAGTAAAATATAATGGCATACACAATGAAAGATAGCCCTATAAAGTTAGTGATGAAATTCTTACCTGGCTGGATGATGTCATATCAGCAAATTCTTCGATGCCATGCTCTTTTTGAAGTTTTTCAGCCATTTCATCGATCATATCATTCAAAACTACACACATGAAAATAAACAAGAGATAAATAGTGTCAAACTAGCTTGAAAATCAGTCTTATTTATAGCCTATTGACTTAAATTCATTCAATAGTGTAACAAGATGATAATATAGTTTGATCAAAAATGAAAGTCCATGTTTTTACCATTAGCTTTATCAGCCTGYTTTTGGAACATGTATCTAAATTTTTCTGTTAATGCAATCTCTTCATCAGCATGAGTTATTCTTAATGCTGCTCCAGTACCCTTCCAATTACTGGTTGCTGAACCAAAGGAACAGACAACATCCCCAGCATTATGCCTTGAGCCATACTTKACTGACGGAGTGGCCCTGCCATTTGAAATGATCCATTATAATGATATAAAAGATGTGATTACTCTTATGAATAATTCAATTTTTGACAAGGCTCAGGGATGAATATTGTATTTTCCAGGAGCTTATTTTCAAACTTTTCCACTGCAGTCAACTGATACAAGACTTCATGTTGTATCCTTGCATAAATTGCTGGATACTCTACCTTCTTGTGGATAATAATTTTCTATGCCATTACCAGTGCCAAACCAAATTACAGCATCATTAAACTAATGTTCTTTGTACGACAAAGCATATAACCCTAACATTGATGTCCAAGCCAACATAAGATTGTACTCACATTGCAGGAGAAAAACTAGAAGGTGAGAATGCCGTGTTAGGACCAGGAGTCCTACTAAGTGTTGTGTGTCTCTTGTTATTTGGAGCTTCTGGGGTGGTGAGAGCTCTTTTAAGAGATTTCTAGTAAAAAAAAACAAGGAAATAAATAACAATAGTATAAATATAATAGTTTTTGATGCTTCAAGACATTGTTGCAAAGCKATAGTTGATGGATGAAAAAAAATATTTCTTCTGAAATGTTGAAAGCCTGGAAAAGTCATTGGCTCATAAAACTCAACCAATCTCAAATGATTATACAAAAATCACATATAGGACCTATGATGTGCAAACGTACCTTATTTCTGGGGGTCTGGCAATACATATCCAGCATGTCCTCTGCGTCTTCTTCATTAATACTAATATCATTAGGTCAAGTYATTAAATATTCTCATATTATATTTTACATTTTAAAACTTAAAAACATAAAAACCATTTCATTTCTTTATTTGGATTAAAATTTTCTCTATGGTAAACTAGAGAGCTAAGTTTAGTGGGGCAGGGTTACGAGATGCATTTTTCTAGGTTTGTACTATATCTATGTGAAAAGTAATTGTATTTTAGATTTTGAAATAAATCATAAAGTTAGAAAACACTTATATGCTACTGGTACTAGCCTGTGTACATCCRGTTTATTTTCAACATCAACCGTCTGTGTTTACGAATAAAACGCTGGATGAAACTCAGGCTATACTGGTACCAACTGTATAATAAATTCATTACCTTTACTAATACATGTAACTAAAAAATTTGCAAACATTTAAAGGATACTAGTCATCTAAATCGTCTTTAGTAACCATACGCGAACTCCCTTCGTGTTTGCTAAATTGAGTTTGAAGTTTTTTGTTTCTTTCGAAGGACTGTTTGCGCTCAAACTCTTCAAGCAACTCCACTTTAATGTCATTGTTTTCAAGTTTTGATGTCTGTGCAAATGCTACCCATTCACTAACAAGATCTTCTGGTGTAAGCTGGCAGTCAGTGCAAATATCTTTCACTGCAACCAAGAGTATTAATGAAAATAAGTGGATATAATGTTGGTTTGAATACACGCATATTGGAAAATACAGGGTTTGATATTCCATTTGCATATTTCTTATCTAGAGAACTCTGACACTGAAGCTTCTCCTTTTACACATCTCTACTTTCCTATTGAATAGGAAAGAGCTAAATAACCATTACTTCAATATTGAGAGTCCTGTTTAGTGTTCTCACTACTGGATTAATTAAGGGGATAGCAACCTATGGGATGCTGCCAACATGGGGGCTGCTACCCCCTCTTATAAAGTTTTGYGCCCACCGCCTAGCTTTTCCATTGCCGAGAGCTGTGATTATGAAGATGGAGACAAACTGAGTTGCAAGCTATCATATATATATATATTCAAGAAATAGTACTTATATTATGACTAAGACAAGAAATAGTATCCAGAAATAACCCAGAATTCATTCATAATCCATGAYTTTTACATGTGCTTTATAGGATTACCTTTTTTTGTAAAAAAGATACATGTTATTTTCAGTGAAACTGCTTCCTCTCAAAATGCTTTCAAATAGAAAAACGATAAACTTACATAGAAACTATGTATGCAACAAATAAAGTTATATAAGCTTACTTAAAGGTCATTTTATCAAATTTACCTCGCTAAACATTAATAGAAATTCATATTCTTATACAAATATCAAAGCTGTATTCATTTAAAATACTTACGTTTATCTARGATGGCAACATCGTCGATTTTAATCGAGAACTCCCCGAATTCTTGTTCAATTTCTTCATCGGTCACCATTTTGAATCGTTTTCCCCGCTAATATTGATTTCCGCGCCAAAATATCCGAAACCACAATGCAACGGKCTCGTATGTCCGATAACATTCCGATATGATCTCCGTAATACTTCCGCTTACTTCGTATATTTCCGGTTGWGATCCGTGAGGTCCTGGAGTGAATGGAATGAACAGTTCGAACAACTGTGGTCGAGCCGTTGTCTCGTCGTCTTGTGTGATTATACTAAAGTGATCTTATACTTTTATATTGTTTGCAAATGGCGGAAGAGGAGCAGGAATACTATGGTTATTATTACGGGGAGGAAGATAAAGGATTACTTGATTCAGCATGGGAAAAACAACAGAGAAAAGTAAGAAAAATTAAGTGTAATTACGGTTATATGTGAGGACAGCTATTACACTTCATATATATGTGAGGGGGTGTAACAGAGTTAGAGGCTCGGTAAACCGGCTACTTGTTAGATAGGGYTATAAAGATACATTTGTGTGYTTTGCTAGATAGATCGCTGATCAGTTGAAATTCTTTTACAGACGTTTACCGCCTGGTGTAACTCTCATCTGAGGAAAGTTGGTGGCCAAATAGGTGAGCTTGAGGAAGATCTGAAAGATGGTGTGTTACTGCTCCAACTTTTGGAGTGCCTTTCTGGTGAAAAGCTACCCAAAGCAGAAAAAGGAAGGCTACGATTTCATCGCATCGCAAACGTAAACAAAGCGCTTGATTTCGTGGCATCCAAAGGAGTTAAACTAGTCTCCATTGGCGCTGAAGGTAACTCGAAAATCGATGTCAGGCACTTGGGTATACGACCATAATTAAATGTATTTRTTGAATTTTCCACAGAAATTGTGGATGGCAACCCTAAGATGACATTGGGGATGATCTGGACAATTATTCTGCGGTTTGCTATTCAAGATATTGCGATCGAAGGTACGTTTTTTTCCTGAATTTCTCGACTGTGTGGTAGTTTCTGTTCAGAGCGTCACAACAGAGGAACCTTTGCGATGTAACGTGAGCCTGCTCAAACTTATATTTATTTCCGAACAGATATGTTTGCAAAAGATGGGTTATTGTTGTGGTGCCAAAGAAAGACAGCCCCATATAAGAATGTCAAAGTACAAAATTTCCACTACAGGTAAGATTTATTCCATCAACGTCCCACAGTGATTTTGAACGGCAAAACTGTCAAATCACAGGGAAGTGTTGGTAAAGTTGTTGTACTCTCTTTGTTGCTTACATGAACTTGTCAACTTTAATTGTTCTTTACAGTTTTAAAGATGGTCTTGCATTTTGCGCCTTGATTCATCGCCATAGACCCGATCTTATCAATTATGACTCTCTTCGAAAGGTGAGTATTTATGAACATTTCAGAAGTATTTCCCGCAATATGTTTCGAAAACTGGTTTGACCTCATGAGTATGTAACTGGCTAGTCTGGGTGTGGTAGAAATGACTCATATTTTGTCACACAATATGTTGTAGTGTCTTAAAATTATTTTAAACTCTATGATTGTTTGAATATGAAGTTTAGCGTCTGCAGTGTTGATAAGCCTTGCGCTATTATTAGAACAAATGCAATAATAAATGTTTTAAGATGTTTTCTATGCAGTATGTGATTGAACGCGTGTTTCAAGGCCGGCATGCATGAAATATTTATGTTTAATATCGAAAGCATCATGCACTTCTGACACAACACTTTCTGTGACTAGTTTTCAATTATCAAAGATGATCCGTTCTTCGATAAGATTAATCCTCGCATAAAGCCTGTCAAGAATTTATGTATTTCATATGGTGACTTCATTCTTAAATCACGCTYTAAATTGTTTATATTTTGTGATTTTAGTTTCAGTGCGTTAATCTATTTTACATGTTTGATTAGATGATTGAGTGACTTTCTATTAATTTTAGGGTTTATGACACACATCGTATATTTCCTGACTTGTAATAATACCTTAAATGGTATTGTAAGTCTAACTTGCGTGACATCGAATTGTAAATCAACATTTTTCCGAGACACATCGATCTCCCGTAATAACAACTTATTTATTTTGCTTTGCTGAATTGATTTTAGCTCTTAGAATTATGAAAAATCGCAAACAAATCCTTGATATTGATGACAATACTTCAAGTTCATTGAAAAAACTACAACAATGACTTTTACATCCACAAAACAATAGCAAACTAACTCTATTACTAAGTAAAGACAACACTTTTAATGAATATTTTCATGTGATTTTGTATTGAATGTCTGATGGACTGTTGGAAAAGTTTCAAAAGCTATATTATTTTTTCCATATAAAGAATTGTTTGAGGGAAGTAACTCAAAACATTTTTTGTTAAAGATCATAAATTTTCAATGCAATGTAAACAAAAGATTGTGAAACTTTTTATGATTTTTATATATAGATATTCTAGAACAACTCATGTTTACTATTATGCAAGTTTTTATTTATTATTAGTTTTATCATTTGATATATTAATCCAAATCAACCAATAAAGTTGATATTTAAGTGTATATTTAGTTTTGAGTAAAGGCTCTTGTTTTGTCACCAGAGAWTAATTGTTTTGCCAAATGTGTGCAAAATAGTTTGCATTTTACATGKTTTTTTACTCACATTACAGACTGCAACAGCTGTTTATAGCTTGTAAATTGAAATTTCAGTTGGTTATTTTGATGTTGTTCTAATAATGGAGCAGTTCATTTACTYTGATAAAAGAAAGCCATACCACTTTAAATATGTCATGCTAAGGATAACTTTTGTAACTTGGTTTTTTATTGTTTAAGCATTCAAAAGTGCATATAAATCAGCCTTTTGTCTTCCTTCTTGCTTCATCATTCTATTGTCTACAATTTGTTGTTAAAATATCTGTCTTTCATGTGGTTAATTACCTATCCTAATTACTGATTACATGTAATACATACAGCCAGAGGCTATTCTGAAACATCAGTCAAAATATTACATAAATTCTACATAAGGATAATAAGAATGATYATAGTGTTCCCTCTGAGGTCATTGTCTGCGACCTTTTGGATATTCTGACAAGGTTGTTGCAATCTGTCTTTGGCATGAAGATACTTGGATAGCTAACTCTCATGTTGATGATAAGCAACTACTCTTTTTGCAAAAGTCTGAATATAACTATAGTTTTTTCTCTTGTTCCTTAACAAGAAGAGAAAATTTTAGCAACAGTTTTATAGAGAAATTAAAGCTTGAATAATTTCACTTTCAATTTGTTTTTCATTTGAAGTATTTGTATAAATATACAGTCACGAATTGTGTCCTTGCCTGAAATATTGTAGCATTAATCATTTTGAAACAGTATGTCATTAACTTATTTATGAAACTAATAGCTCGGATGTATTTAGTAGTCTTAAATGGTAATTGATTTAATTTAATAAAGAACTTATTATTAGTACAAGAATCTTAAAATTACCTTTGTTTTGTTTTATTCATKAGTTTATTTTTATTTATCATCTATTTATTCATTATATTATATTTGTTATTCATTAGTTTCTTTGTTTTTGTGCCTCAATACCAGAATGTTGAAACAAGATGAAAATAGCAAGTGAAAAGATATAAAGGAAGTTGTAACCATAAAAACAAACTGAAACCAAGCTAAACTTTTTATTTTATCAACTATCATAATACATTTTAAATTCTACTTACAAGTTTATGTATTTAATTACATTGTTTGCCAATATTGATTATAGTCAATAAAATCTTATCTGGAAAGTGACCAAGATTAGTCAAAAATCACAATTTATATTTAAGCTGGAATCAATTTGTTGCCTGATTGTATGGCCTGAAATGTCACTACCAACTAACCAATTAAAATAGAGTTTGAATCCTAAGATACAGTACCAAATAAAATAATTTAAATGTAAACATAATAATTATTATTATTTTTTTCTTTTTCAGGATGACCCCTATACCAATCTGAACACTGCTTTCAATGTAGCTGAGCAATATCTAGACATCCCTAAAATGTTGGATCCTGAAGGTTGGTTGGTTGTTGACATTGGCTTTTATCCCATCKRTCCAAATCCTTTTTTATCATGAATRCTTGAGTTKAAAGTGAAAATAATTAATAATTTAATAGTTTTGTGATTACTATCTAGTTATAGCTGAAGTAAGCRCACTAACATTCTCATGAATTTGTTTTTTATCTCAGATATGGTTGAGAATGAGAAACCTGATGAGCGTGCAGTCATGACATATGTATCTTCATACTACCATGCTCTGACAAGCTCACAGCAGGTGAGGCTAAAAAAGGAATCTGTATTATAATGATAACAATGTTTAATGTTACTGACACTTACTTCAAARCCAGCTCATAAAATAGTCTAGTGTRAKTRAGCAAAAACAGCTGTCAATCAAAACTGTTGACATTGTTTTAATACCAAGTGGYAGTTAGAMCTAAGCCATTTAGTAGATTGGTGGCAATCTATTGCTAATTTCCCATTTTAACTTTTGTCCAGATTGCTCTAGTAGTAATACTAACAATGGTTACAAATCGGAATATTTATGTATAATTTACTATTTTCATGTTAAATCATTGAATAAAGCTCAGTATCATCTTTTGCTCAAGTATTACTTTCGAAAAAAAAAAAATCATTATCATTATCAAGCAAAATCATGTTTTTTGCAGGCCGACACAGCTGCCAAGAGAATTGGAAAAGTCTTAAACATCAACAGAGACAATGAAAAGATGATGGAGGATTATGAAGGKCTGGCTAGCAATGTAAGTCAAACCTGTTACAAGCCTCTATTCAGTCTTACCTTAATGTCAATGTCCAAATCTCTTCTGAACTTTTGCTAATTATATTGTTTTGTTAGCTTCTGGATTGGATAAACCAAAAACTTCCTCAGATGGAAAGTAGAGAAACTGATGGCACTCTAGCTGATATGCAGGTTAGTGTGTATATGAAGACATAATGAAATAATAGTTACTGTTTTAAGTCAGACAACTTGTCCAGCTTGAGCTCTATGCATTGACCCTGTGTCAGTTTACTGCCTTGCAAATTTGGTAAATACATGATAATCTTCTGCAGAGAAAACTTGAAGACCTCAGAAACTACAGAAAAGGAGAAAAACCACCCAAAGCTGAAGACAAAGGTACCTTGGAAACTAACTTCAACACCCTGCAGACAAAACTAAGGTTGAGCAACAGACCTGCATTCCTGCCTTCTGAGGGAAAGATGATCAAYGAYATTAATGACGCATGGGGAAGGCTAGAGAATGCTGAGAAAGATTATGAAGACTGGCTTTTAATTGAAATGAGGAGAATGGAGAGACTTGATCATTTAGCTGAGAAGTTTAGACACAAGTGTAATATCCATGAGCAGTGGACTCACGGCAAGGATGAGTATCTTTCACGAGATGACTACTCCAATGCTTCCCTGAGTGACATTTTGGTGAGAGGGGTTAAAAATATATTATATATTTGTAATAATATTACTTATGACATCCTTCAGATTTTAGCTATTTTGTCGTACTTTTTGTCAAAAAAAAAACAAAATTATTTTTAACTAACATTAATTAGACCCATGATTAACAATTTAGGCCATGAAGAAGAAGCATGAGGCTTTTGAAACAGACCTGGCTGCTCATCAAGACAGAGTAGAGCAAATAAATGCCATTGCTGAGGAGCTTGCGTAAGTTAATATACACTAAATCACTTATYGTCATGGATGATAGTTATGATAATGATGTGCAGATATATATACCAAATTATGTTATTATATTGTTGACAGTAGTGTTGATATGTCCTTTTGTCCCTTAGCTCATTGGAGTATAGTAAAATTGATGAAGTTCAAAAGCGCCGACAGGTAAGAAGTTTCAATAACAATACAATCTCATTTTAAACAAGTTTCATAAATCTATCGTATGCAGTCGTCTGATTAATGAACTGCATATGGCTTTCAGACAACAGTTTCGATTGTCGACATCTAATGATCCTGGGATTTCATTAACGCTTTTGTATGAGTTCCATTTAACTTATAAGCTAATGGTTTTTGGTGTAGTCTTAAAATTCACATCTCATTTTGCCTTTAGAACATCTGCCAGAACTGGGATTACCTTGGTGAACTAACCATGGCTCGTCTTCAGAAGCTCGAGGTACAAGTTACAATTGAATTTTTACGAAAACGTAAACTTATATCCTAATTCATTTTTTCTTATTTTATCCTTGCTTGCTCTCTTTAGGAAATTCAGCAACGTCTTGAAGAGCTTGACAACCTTCGTTTGGAGTTTGCCAAAAAGGCAGCTGTAAGTTGTCTGTTTTCCCTCACGGAATTTTTCTCTTCAGATTTTAATTYTTTTTTAATTCATTGCTTTTCGACAGCCTTTCAATAATTGGCTAGAAGGAGCAAGAGAAGATTTAATGGATATGTTTATTGTTCATACTATTGAGGAGGTTCAGGTACGTCAAATTACAATGCGCTCTTTCCCCGCCAAAACTGTTAACACGCGCGCGGCGTTTGAAAAACCATTCAAGTGCTGGCTTTTCTGATTGTTCGCAGAAAGTAAAGCTATTTGAATGTTGTTTTTGTTTATTTATTTTTAGTATATTTTTTTGTTTCTTTATATATTATTATTTTTTTGTATTTTGATGTCTCTGAATTCCATTTTTTGTTCAGGAACTTCAAGAAGCTCACGAGACATTCAAAGCCAACATGCCTGCTGCCGAAGAGGAATTCAACTCTATCATGGATCTTGCTGACCAAATAAAGCAATTGAGCAGCCAAGAAAATCCCTACACCTCTCTAACGTCTGAAGTACGAAACATTTTGACTACTTGATGTTTAAATTTTGTACCTAAGGTCTGAGAATAAGCTACAATGATTTCGTTGGTATTTTCAGGACATTGAAACAGCATGGCACGAAGTACTCAGGCTTGTTCCAAAGCGAGACAACTCGTTGCGAGAAGAAAAAACTAAACAAGAACGTATCCTCAAATACATTAAATGAAATTGTTATTTTCTTGCTGTTTTGTTTAATTCCTTTTCGTCAAAATCCATTTTTGTACAATTTGAACAACACTGATTTTTTAATGTATTCATTTTTGCTGCCTTAACTCTGACAAGACAATGAAAGACTTCGTATTCAATTCGCCAAGAAAGCCAATGTTGTTGGTCCTTGGATTGAGCAAGAAAAGGAGAGACTTCGAAATATTGGTTTTAATATGACAGGAACACTCGAGGTAAAAACTTGTATATTTTGTCAAGTTTACCCGTGCACTGTTTGCTTCGTTGCTGCTACACACAAATATATATTGCGTCTTTCAGAAAAATCTTCAAATTCTAAAAGAACAAGAGGAAATTCTCTCTCAATACAAGCCAAACATCGAAGAACTCGAGCTCATTAACCAGGTAAACTATATGTAGTGTAACATCGGTTTACAGTAGCTTTTTACATAGTAGTTTCCGTTTGTAATATCGAAAGTTTCTTTTGGGCGTCCATTGATGTAGAATAATTTTCTTTTTCAGCAAGTACAAACAGCTTTGATATTTGAGAATCCACATACACACTACACAATGGAGGTAAGAATTGCACTCAAGTCGTTTTCAACACCATTGAAGTAGGGCCGACCATATTAATATGCTTTTGTAGGATCTCCGAGTACGCTGGGAGCAACTTCTCACAGGAACAGCTATGAGTATCAACGAGGTGGAGAACCAGGTAAGAATAACTAAATAAGACTCTCCACCACTTTAGCCATTAAGCCTTAGTTGTTAAAGTTACTACATACTTGGATTAGAATTTGCTCTCTGAATGTAATGAATTATCAAATTGTTATTAATTATTTTTCATTTCGATTTATAGATCTTGACTCGAGATTCCAAGGGAATTACTGAAGACCAAATGAACGAGTTCCGTGCATCGTTTAACTTCTTTGACAAGGTGCGTTTACTTTGAAATTTTTGTGCTCTCTTCAGATTAGGCGGAGAAATCACTTACAACATCCTTCATATTTTAGGATGAAAATGGCAAACTGGAACCCAATGAATTCAAACAATGTCTCGTCAGCTTAGGATACAGCTTAAAGGAAGGAGAAAAGGTACAACTTATAATAACCTCAGTCAATACTTGTTTGAAATAATGACAAAGCCTTCGCTTTCAAATTAAGGGTGACAAAGAATTCGAGCGCTTGATGAGAATTGTCGATCCAAACAACACGAAGAAAGTTACATTCCAAGCGTTCGTCGACTTCATGACAAGAGAGACCGCTGACACAGACACTGCTGAGCAAGTAATGGAATCTTTCAGGATTTTGGCTGGCGACAAGGTGAGTTGAAGTGGCTCTAAATTGCAGTGTAACAACAACAACAACAGTTTATTTATTAAAATCACTCTGCTTACAATTAAAGTCAGCCCTCGCAGTTAGTAACAGAACGTTAAGTAAGTCATTAATCTGMAGTTTATAAACATTCCTCTGACATCAATGTTCATTTTAACACAGCCTTACATCACTGCGGACGAACTGCGCAGAGAATTACCTCCCGACCAAGCAGACTACTGCATCGCACGCATGGCTCCCTACGAAGGCAGAGATGCTGTCCCTGGTGCGCTSGATTACATGTCCTTCTCCACAGCACTTTATGGAGAAAGCGACCTCTAATAATATAGTAATAATATCTAATACTTATCAAGATTTTTGTATGGTTATGTAGGGGTGAACGATGTTAATGGAAAAGTAGGATTGATATTTTTAAAGACTAATTCCTTTAGAGCTATCGGATGTGACTTCGCTTAGTACTTGTAAAAACGACTTTCGATAGAGAAAGTGACATTTCTTCCGCACAAAACAAACTAGCTTATTTTAGTAGAAAAATATATTGTTTCATCTCTATATTATGCAACAAAGTCGTCTGCTGAGGAGAAGAATATTTTTGCAAATTGATAGGACGTCCCGGCCATGTCACCAAATGAAAGTTCACAAAGCAAAAGAAAAAACACCCACATTTTACTAGAAAAAATCATGTAGTTTCCACTGTTTTCGTAAGATTTTCAATTCCTTACAATCGAAAAWATATACTGTTTAATGAATTTCGTTGGAAAGAGTTTTGCAAGTTTTTTGCAAGATCACGTAATTTAACAKAGTCTCTCGCACCCTTGACCACAGCAAAATAAACACCTCGTTTTTGTTAATTCTTCAAGCTAAAGGAGATCCAGTAGCCCATACATGTGAATTAGAAAAAATATAGCTTTTGTAATAAAATTGAACTAACCTGCTGTAGCTAAACATTAACTGAGTTTTATAGATATATTTGGTTGAAGTTTACTCCRTGTATCCCATGATGCTTTGTATTTAGTATATAGCGTGATTGTAAAGTTAATTGCCCTCATACTTTTCCCAAAATGTAGTGTTTAAACTCGATAAGAAATGAATAATTTTAATAAATAAATATGACTGTTTTAWGTTAGTGTTTGTTGTTTTATTTCTAACAAATAAATGTCTTCTAGTATAACCGCGCTGAAACGGCACGAAAACACAAGGTGCGGCTACGGTATTGGCAATACACTATATTAGTTTATACCTAAACTGATGTTGCAGTTCAGCCATTGTGATTTGCTTAGAACATTTTGACTTGTCCTCGGCCGACTTCTAAGAGCACACCACAAAATATGATTCACAGCAACTCTCCAMTTTACATAAAATTTTGAGATAAATTTGAATTTTTAAGTCTGTTGTTATGGAGATTGTTTTGTTGCCCATACTACCTTTCGTCTAGTTCGCGTTCATATCCACCACTATCTTGCGGACAAGGCGCTCAGCTGCCGGATACCATCCATAATGTAGACGTGGCCGCATTGTACACATTCATTGCCGACAGTCTTCATTGCCATGTAAGGCGGATGAAGAGAGCGTATGATGATTGTATTTCCCCATGCAATTTCCATCATTTTTCAAAGGTTCTTTATCGAAGTTCTCACAAAACCTTAAACGCAAGAAAACTTTGCATGAACCTAACTGTTAAAAGTCTTTTAGGGTACAAGTCGATGCGCGGTAAACGTCCCTTTTATGAATTCAAAACTTAATGAACTGCTAAACGGGTACCAGTGTGAAGGATCAACAAAAACAGCACATGCTTCCATAGCAGCCCAGAGACGACGAACACGGCGCGTTAACATTAAATCATCGCCTGACAAAAATAACGTCATAAAACTAGACCACAATTCCGAACTTTTTTCAGAAAAAGCCGTTTAGGAGTCACGTTACTTGTCATGGATAACAAAACAACATCGATCGAATGGATGAGTTTTTGCGCTTTTGATTTTAACCGATGAATGTGAATTGCTCAACTTGAATTATCAAGGGTTTGGTAATTATTGGAATTTTTCGAGTGATTAAGAGCTTAGTTCGCTTTGAACTTATTTACTTCAAAAGGTAAGTTTCTCATTTGTGATTTTTCCCTTAGGAAAAAGTCTTTTAATATACGAGCATCATTTTTGATACACATAGATATTTATATGTGGAAATGAGGACGAGTTAGTTCCTAGACACACAAAAAAGCTATATCCCTTTATGAATTTCCCCTTCAGGCACTAAAAAATGTGTCTACAATAAACATGATATTTCTAATAAGAGTAAAATGCAAATTAATGCTAAGAGCAATTCCTTCTTTTCAACTAAGCAAGACGAGGAATTTAACATTTATCAAAGATCATTATTTTGACAACGCCAATTGGAGTGTGACAAATTGACTCGTGTTTGATTCGGTACCCAAAAGAAACTTCAAAAACATTTCAAATTGACGAAAATTTATATTTGAGATTAACACAATAGAAAAACAAAGTACAATTGATGTATTTAACAAACAAATCCGCCATTTTGGACGTGGACTAAACATTCAAGATGGCCGCCATCTTAAACCGTCTTCCAGACATTCTGTTCCTATATTAAAACTTAAAAGAGCACGCGCGTTTGAAAATATAAGTCAACTAAATGTGGGACACTAGAGTACAAACACTAAAACTGTGCAACATAAATACCACTAAATACTGCTAAATTATGYTAATTCTATTGTTTTCTATTGTTTAATTAACACTATTTTGTAGTAAATAGTGGAAAGTGTTGCACACATTTAATGTTTGCACTCTACTATCAGAAAAGCTGGAAAATATTTGATTAAAAACTGTACCTTGACGCCTCGGTTCAATGCTTTATTCGTGGTCACTGAACCAGCTGAGTATGGAAAGTCGTCAATTATGAGAGTTTTCAAAACAAAACAAAAAATGTTAATAATAATAATATGAACTAAGTTTAAGTCCCCTTAAAACATTTAGAGTTAAAACTGCATTGTTATCCTAACCATCTAGTAAGTTTAAGCCCCGTCTACACGAGCAATTTTTATCTGTCAATTTTTATGTGACAATTTTTAATTGCCCGTGTAGATGAGCAAAATTGGTCAATTTTTATGTGACAACTGTAGTTGCTGGAAAGCTGGCATGCTAGTATTTATGTGACTACTAAAATTGTCACATATCGAAAATTGCTCGTGTGGACGAGCGTCACATAAAATGTGACAATTATTTTGACGTTACACTGAATCCCAGTCTCGACATTTTGCACACCAACCAAGATGGCGACGCCGATAGTAAGCAGAACGACCGGACCACAGAGAGAATGGTATTATTGTTGTTGTAAGAGCTAAAGCCAACCAAATTTGTTTTACTATTTTGTTGTGTTATTGGGCTGTCTGACTCACATATTTCTGTTTCTTCTCGACGTTTCGACGCCATTCTGGTCGTCATCCTCAGGATTTTGAGGATAACGACCAGAATGGCGTCGAAACGTCGAGAAGAAACAGAAATATGTGAGTCAGACAGCCCAATAACACAACAAAATAGTAATTATACCAGACTCACGAATAAGAGTTTCAGATCTACAAATTTGTTTTGTTTATTTGGATCTCCGCTGTGCAAAATCACACTTGGCGCGAATCTTCAACAATTATTTGCTGCCTGTCCAGACGGAMAAATAAAAGTTGTCACATAAAAATCAGGCGCGTAGCGTGGGCTATTTGGCTAGTACGCACATGTCAGGGACCGCGACACATGGATCTGGAGGTCTAACGATCGCCAAAGGCGGAAGTATTTTAATACTCTCTTAAAAGAGAGTCTAGACCTCCCTCAGGAAATTTTGAAATGATAACTCTTGGAAATGCGATTTCCAGCGTTTTGAAARACATCGAGGGTACATAAAAGTGATCAATTTTATGTGAATTTCTTTGTAATTTTTTGTGAAAACTTTAATATTTTCTTGCCACTAGTACGCACGTGCGTATATGCGTAAAGGACGCTACGCGCCTATTTTGGTCGTGGAAGTCTTTAAAAATGTTGTGGTAACTAATTAAAATAATCATTTAATTTATTCAAACTGGTCTGTTGTTTGTTTAGCTATTCCACTTTAGTCTTGGTCTAAAAGTTATATTGACTATTACTAATTACTAATTGCTACTTCGCCGAACGGCGTTGCTATGTACGTTGCCACCCAATTCAAATCCTGTGTGAAAAAGAACTTTTGTTTTTAAGAATTCAACTGTGACTAATGAAATACAACGAACAATGAAGCTTACTCCCGGGTGGTTTSAATTGGGTTGAAGCCGAGTAGGTCTATTCTTTTCATGGTTGACGGAAAACCACTCCATTTAAATTAATGCGTCTGTACAATCTGTGCGTTTTTATAAGACGAGTAGCGCATTTCTGATATCAGTTAACCTCGTCGTAGTTATGTACTCATTCTTTCAAATAGACATTTCGCTAAATGGAACAGTTAAAAAGGKATTGCAGCAATTGAAATGGGAGATTTCAATCCGAAAAATTTGACCATCAGCAAAAATCCTTTAGCACAAATCAAGTGGTTATTCAGCTTCATGTTTTATTCTTTCAGATACATTTGCAAAGCTTGCCATGTAATGAAGACAGGATCCACAAGTCGTGACCACCAATCTGGTCATCGACTAGCGCGAGTCATTATCCTGGTGATCGTAGTTCTTCTTTTATGCCTTATACTAAAACATCACAGACTTGCAAAGGTGAAAACCACCATCAAGGAAGAGGAAAAACAGTTAGATCTTGGATGTCTCTATACTGTCATCCCCCCGACTAATCCAATCACTTGGAAAGAAATTATTTTCTACATCAAGCCTAGTCCGGGGGGGATTTGCAAAGGGGTCTTCAGACACAATGTTACCGAAGGCCAGTCCAAATTTAGAATTCAAGCTTTTGGCTCTAAAGAAATGGTCACTGGCACCGCAATGCATGTCGGAAATGACACTTACGAAGCGAAATTGCAACTTTCTTTCGCGGATGAATATATATTTATGGTGATATTGACGTTTCTAAACAAAAATCACCTTGAATATCGTGTACACCACAACGCCATATTGCAGCACGTTGTAAGTAGCCCTTTCGARTCGCGGGTCGCTGAGGGTACTCGTCCTGCAGGATATACSCGCTATTGCACACGCGAAGAGAGCGGAACAGCACCCGGTAGATGGGTAGAGTGTGGTAAACTAGAAGGAATTGAGGATTGTGGTGAATGGCAGCTGAACCAGGTGTACGACTTTGACCAGATCCATGGATTTCATTGGGTGCCGTTTTCTTGTCAGTTACACCATTACAGTAATGATGAAATCAAAAAGTGCTTTGCTAAGAATGGATGGAGTAATATTGCTTTCACAGGTACATTTTACCCAGCACTACATTCGGTCTTTTTTCCCCATATATTCTAAACAAAGGCAAGGTGCAGACAATAGCGATACTCAATGTTGATCAGCAGACCCATTCTTATGCTAATGTGCCAACCATGATTTAACAAGTCGCTTTGTTCTAACAGCCAATCGTCTTCTGGTTGGCACATGAATAACAAAGGCTTACGTCACATTGAGTATCCCTGTAGATTTTAAGCTTTTACGTCATACACCGTATACGCAATGGATAGATATGCTTGGTACAAAACATGTCGGATTTCTTTCGCTTTCTCAAGAATCTGATCCCATAATGCATTACAAATCAAGTAGGTGACTTGAAAGCTTCAAAWGTCTACAGGCATTTGCAAGCAAGTTTAGTGATGTTATTTAAAGAATAATTTTGGTAATAATTTTGTGCGGAAAGCTAAGAAAACACAAAAATTGGTCTGTTATACAAAGAACCACAAGTTCTCCTGCGAATTAAACCCGGCATTAAAATGATAGGTTCATCATAAATCTTGATACTTTTAATTTTCGCATACAGGAGACTCGCACATGCGCTATCGTACATATCACTGGGTAACGCGACTGTACGGAGGCTGCCGAGGCTGTATCAAGACGCACATCAAAATGGTATTTGACAAAATCCCGCGTATCGAGTGGATCTTCGATGCCCGCGGGACGCGCTGGCCTATGACGTTCCCGGATGTTAAAATCCCAAACGAAGTTTACGTRCATCCAAAAACACGACGTTCAATGTTCTCTAAGGAATTACCTTCGACAGTTTTCGATGTCAAGCTTTTTATAATGAACTTTGGACACTGGGTACTACGAGAAATCACCCAAAAGAAATTCATGCAAGACAAACTTAACGCTTTCGCAGAAGCCATYCAAAAGATGAACGGGACAGACGGAAAGAAACGGTTCTTGTGGGTCAACACGGTGAGCCTTCCTTGGCGCGACGACAAGGCCGTGGTGGACTGGATCGAGAATCCATCACCCGCTAGGGTAGAGCATTGGAATAAATTGAGCGATTCGGTCATGCGCAAACACGGAATTCAAATCGTCGATGCATTTCAAATATCGAACAGCCGCATCGGGGCGACTCACGACCAGACGCACTACGCTAAGAGAATGAGCAATGGCGACTGTGGAGGAGTAGTGGAGAATGCTATTAGTAATACTATTGCTAATGCTTTGTGTAATTTTAAGATATAAATGATGTTACTATGTAAACGAGCAATCTTTTCATTCGAACAAGTCGCTCGAATTTATAATTTTATACTCTTTTATATTCCAAAGGTTAATTGTAAGAAAATAAAGGATTGTTTATGAAATCAGTTCTAAAAGTCGTCCTTTCTGGAACTCATAAAAAAGACACTAATATGAAAGCGGCACAGCCTACTATCAAAACAATATTGCCATGTTTTAATCGAAATGGATTGAAATAATATACATTTATTTCCTTTATTTCCTTTAAATCTTTTTTCAATGTTGCAACTGACARCACTAATGAAGTGCATTCTGTGTCGTTCACAACCTTTTGTATGGTGTCCCTGTTGCACCTTGCTCTTCCTCTCGACACTGACGACCACCAAACCAAACGGTCTTCCACAAGAAGTACCATCAAATTGCGAACAAATCTGATGGTCGCTTTTAACGTGATCGGTCTACAGAGTGTCATCATTTCAGTATATCATTGCACATTCTAATGATTATGTTGTGAACCTCTGTAAAAGGTGGTCAAACAAAGTAGGCAATTGATGGTCGCTTACTGACAAGAAGGCGGTCGCTCTAGAGGGTGTCCTCATTTACATTACTATAATATATCCTATTGATTTTAAGCTACCATCATAGAAGGATCCTCAGCGGTTCTTTCAATCTGTTCGTAACCAGCACTGAGTAAGTAACGGAAATTAGGATTGTCCAATAAACCGGCAGCCTTTAGATCGTCCGATTGGAGAAGCGATTCCATCGAAGGCATGAATTCCTTTAAATTCAGTCCTGAAAAAGAGAATCGATAATTCATCGGTATAGTGGCTTGCCACTCCGAACTTTATATTTTAACCTAAAACAGATAATCGATAAATCATCGGCATAGCACAACCAAATGAATTTTATATTTAGACTAAGAGTAATCGATAATTCATCGGTATAGCGCACTAACACTGGAACAGACAGTCGATAATTTATCGGTAAGATAGATAACATCAGGAGTAGGGGACGCGTGCCTCACCTTGATTATAAGCTAATTCGACGGTTTTAAAGAAAACAGTGTTTCTTGCACTAGCAAGTGGGTCGATATCTTTCATCGCTAACCAACTGTTAACATACAAAACAGCAAAATAAATAAGAAACAATGCAAATAACGAATGAATTCCAGAATTGAATGATAAATTGATTTGYAATAAACAATTAGTACTTTGAAATTGGTAAGATAGTAAAGTAACATGTGAAAAATTGGATGGATGAGAATGAAGAAAGAAATGAAAGCAAGAAAGCACTGAATGGATGGACAAATGACTGAATAGAGCAATAAGCGAACCAAACCCTCTGTATTTTTATGATTCTGAATCAATACATTTCCTACACGCTATATAATATAATATTGCATACTTGTCTTTGAGTATAGCTTTACACCATATATGGCGCTTTAGTGAATCGACATCCTCAAAACCAAAAKTTTCCTGCGAAAAGACAATAGTCAATACCTTAAAATCCTCATRTAAGTCAAATTTTCAAGACAATTAGGGGAATAGCTAGACGAATGGGACTGAAAATAATACAAAATAAAGAAGAGGACAAACAATTTTGTTTGCCGTAATATATGACACAAATATATGGCTGGCAATGTCCATAGGTCATGACGTAATAACAAGTGACGTACCGCATGACGTAACAGGTCCAATGCTTTCTTGAAGTCGTACTCGTTAGAGTGAGTATTCCTATCACCAATGTATAGCTATGAAAGTAGTACAATAACGTTAGATATACTTTTTGTACACTGATGGGCTTCAAAAACTACATTGTTCGTKCAAGGGATGTTTCTCCCGTTTGCAAACTTTGTGCTACTTTGCGCACAGGTAGCCCAAGCTATGCATTTTTACCATTTATGGCTCAAAATGGCCTGAAACTCCAGAGGAATACAAAAAAAACACACACACAAGACATAGGTAGAGATGTTTAGTTTTACGTAACTTAATAAAAACCGTAAAAATGCACAGCTTGGGCTACCTGTGCTTTGCGCTATCATGTCTTTGTACAATTTCACGGAGTTAGCAGGTTTTCGTAAGCTCGTGAAACAAAGCGTGATACGATGATAAGATAAAGGAAAAAGTGCACAATAAAGAGTGATAAAGTATAGTATGACAAGTTGTATTTCACGGGTTTATGGTAACCACTACAGAGCGTTTATTCCCAACTGTTGTCAATAAATAAGGTGCACACCTTACCTCTATGAGTTCAGGCGGCGATAACGGGGGCATAGCCTCTAGGTCGATATTAGAGCTCTAGAAAATAAAACAGTGTATTGGAACGAACATATATCACGTCTATTTGATCAAAGACTTACCTGWAGGACGTCAATAGGCAGGGTTTCTTGGTGCAAGATAATATCGTGCTCGTTATTAATAACTAAAGACGAAACAAAACATAAAATATTAACATCACTTTGTGGCAGATGACATTTTTCCCATTTCAGTTTTCCCGCTTGGCTTATTCTCTGTAAACATATATGAACTTTGTGTAATAAATTAACAATGAATAAAATGATTAATAAGTTATTGAAAATATCGCAGTTCAAATCCTTACTGAYTAATTGTTCTTGTATTAKTTGGTCATCAAGGTKTGCCACGTCAGAATCGGCATCTGCTGCCAGCAGAGCAAGCTTGCTCAAGCTTAATAAAGTCTAATAATCATCGCACAAAATAAAAAAAATCAATAAAATAACATGTGCACTATGTCTTTCAGTCTTTCTCGTGCTTGCATAGTTTCATGCCTAGCAACGTTGACGCGACGGCGTCTCGCAACAAACAGAGAAACACTTATGCATTTTAGATTTACCTTTTTACGTTCTAAAAACGTCTTTTCGTTATCTGCAAGGTTTTTCAGCGTTTCATGCGCCTAAAATATTAACACTAATTAACAATCAGAATATGACAAACATAAATGATCAAACAAATTTGATCTTGTTCCTTTCCCATGATGCCTTTCATTCTCATTTTCGGCGAAATGCATTATGGTTCTAGTAAAATTATCAAGATGGCGGATGTCAAAGTGCGAAGGGCCAAATCTCAATGCGAAATCAACATTATCCATAATCAAGATACTATAGATGAACAGTAAGTGAGATGTCAGCGCACAGAGAATGGTTGTTCCTTGTTACTCGCGAAACAGCCCGGGTACAACAAACAACACGACAACAACGTCAATCCCATAGTGCATCGCGCCGAACATCGACTGACGTCAGAAGGGGAAAGGATCGTTGATATCTAAAAGTCGTGTCAGGTGATATTTTACCTTGTAGAAGGACTTGGTATGGACGTCATGTAACCAGCTTAAGTGATGATGTGAGGACAGGAATTTGCCCAGGTTTTCATGCTGTGGTGCTGGTTGGTTCATGAGCTTATGTCGTTCACCTTGAAAAGGGTCATAGTTGTGTCACATGAAACACTGATTCACTGTTTAATTATTACGCGATATAGTTAGTTCATTAAGCAAACCGTACCTTTGTCCATGTACCACTTGAATAGATAGTCGGAAAAACCCTGTCACGAAAATATAATGATGATGATGATGATGATAATTCAGAGGGTTCTAAGGATGTTTTAAGTTTGAAAAAACAAAAAAAAAAAACAAAAGTAAATTGATAGGCAAACGACCTGCAAGATCCTGTAGTGTGTTGGATTATAATCTACCTAATTTTCACCTAATGTCCAGATAGTGTCCACCTAATGTCTACCGGACACTGAGCTGAGTTGCCGATAATTAAATCTACAGATCACATCCGACAGTTTTTGCTAAAATAACATTTCCAGTATCTCATTTTTTATTGCTTTCTCATACCTGTTCTTTAAACTGTTCAGAATACTTTTCTAGCGTTTCTTTGTCTTCCATGGCCTCGCATAGCTCTATTAGTATACCAAAATCTTGGTATTTTTCTGCCAGAGATGTTGCTTGGCTAAACTGATGAAACTCCACTGTAAAAAACGAAAACCACCGCAAAAAATTAGCATTTACCAGCTCTAGCAACGTATTAATATTTTTATTTTTTTTTTGACCCGTTTCACAAGTTGGATTTCACAAGTACCGAATTTAACTGCAAATTACTGCAACCTTTTGTTTTTTCTCATCTGCATTGACTTCAGCACATATAAGATTCATCGTCTGATGCAGGTCTTACCTAGTGGCAAGATAACAGCCCTTCTGTCTTGTTCATATTTCTGGAAAACCTCATCGTAACGATCTCTCTTACTAGCAACAGATCTAAGACAACAAAGATAGATCAGTCGGGAAAAAGGGTTAATTAATTAAGGGTTAAGTACCGGTAAGGAAGTAAGGGAGATTTTTTTTGAAGATTTTTGTTTTGCTTACTCTATTGACTGCAACTGAATGATATACCCATCAAGAACAATGTCGGCAAGATTGACCATTTGTTGATAGAGGGTAGAACGAACCTGTGAATGTCAGATAGTGAAGTAAAAGGTAAAGGTATCACAACAAAGCCAACTGTGAGCATAAAAACGACACTATAACATCCACAACAATAACAACACCAGCAACGACGGGAAGAACAGCAGCAACAACAACAGTAGTATCAACAACAGCAGCAGTAGTAACGACAACAACAACAGCAACAACAACATCCACAACAGTAGCAAACAGCATTTACACCAGCAACAAAATCAGCAGCATTTATCAACAATAAAAAGAACTGATAAGTTACCTTTGAGTCCTCTGTTCCCATCACACCTCTTTGAGCTGTAATCTGAAGCTACAATTGAAATGGTATTTGGTATTAAAAATCAAAACACTTCAAGACAAAACAAAAGAAAGAAAAAAAACTTGAGAAATGGGAAGTTAGAAAAAAAAGAAATATTCCACGAGTACCTGTTGAAACAAAGAAGTTCTCATTCCYGTTGGCCCTGAAGTTCCAGTCCAAAACATCAGCTCATTATTTTCCTGGTCATTGGTTTGGTTAGTCTGGAACAACCCACTATTCTGCTGTCTGAATGTCCAGGCTTCCATCAACATTTCCTGCCAATCAAAGACAGTTCGCATGACAATTAACTCACAAATACATGTAATCACATTGGGAGAAAGAAAGTAAAACCCATACAAAGTCTATAGAGTRGGTATAATTACTTCATTCACTTTTTATAGTATCATGTCTTAGACCTGGGTGGGGGGACTCCGGGGTAAAAGTAACGGGGATGCTCGTCAAAATTTTTTCAAAAATAACGCCTAAAATATCCCGGAAGTCTTGAAGAAAGGGCGTAGCTGACTGATTTTTAACCCCTAAAGATGGCACAACAAATATTGTTAAATTAAATCAGTTGCAATGATAAAAACGCAGAGGAAAATCAATATCGATACGCTCTTTCTCTTCGTTTTCGACACCCAAGGAGATGAAGAAAAAGCAAATTTCCAGAAACTCCATATTGGCACCTAAAATATTCCCAATCACGAATTTCACCCCTAAGAGATCCGACGAGGATCCCCAGTACTTTTACCACGGAGTACATGGTTACCTGCATTAGATTATTTACGCCTACGATGACCTGTACATGATCTGTAGTAGYAGACGCCGATCTAAGTGTTTCGTCTTCATATTCAAGAAAAGCTTCAAAAATCTCCTCGATACGGGAAACTTCCCTGAAGAACAAGTCSGCCTCAGTGAGACCCTTTGATGGTGCTGCTTGTCTCTTGTTCATTACCAAACTAATTGACGCATCTACGATTTCTTGGTGGCTGGAATAAAACAGGTTAAAGGTAAATATTTAGTGGGGGTTAGCTTCGGGATGTTTGCAGTGGCACTTAGTCTACTGTAWAGAAGGGTATATTTTGTACATGCAATTTTTTCAGCATTTTCAGGTCTAGTTTACAATCAGTGAACAAAACTATAAGATTTATAATTTAGATCGTCAGATTCTGTCATATCTTGACCAGACCTAGTCTCTCTCACAGCTGCAACTTCTAGTTTTGTCAAGGAGAGACACRAAGACCAACAAAAGTAGAGTCAGCAAGGAAGACTAGACTAGACCCARAYGCTACAAGATTTCCATCATGTATGAAYYCATTTGCAGTCAGTTTTGTGAGTTATTTCCATTTGATCATCAAGTATTACTGCATTGTTCTATCAATGATTACATCTCACGTTTTATGCAATCGGCAAAGTGCAATGGCTGCACAAAGTTTTTCTGAATGTTCACACATTAGATATTGAGTGGGWAATGGCTGTTCACGAATCTGAACGCTTCTCAGCTACAAAAAGAAACAGCAATTAATCAATTTATTAATCAACATATCTGTCATCCAATCAGTCAGTCAATCAATCAATCAATCAATCAATCAATCAACCACCCAATCATGCAATAGACCATCCAAGCAATCAGCAAATCAATCAATCAATTGATCCACCAACAGTCAATCTACTTATCAATCAACCAAACAGTCAATCAATCAATCAATCAATCAATCATGTTAATCAATCAATCAATCAATTAATCAATTAGTCAATCAATCAAGTAATCAACAATTGATATTTTTTATTGTTCAATGTACCTTATCCCATATTTCCACACCCTTTAAGAAATTCACAAAGAACTCATGTGCCTTGAGTTTGTCTTCTAGTTGATGTAAGATGATTAGTGATGATGATGCTGACATACCACCTACATCAACACAAACATGAGATAATGAAAAAGATACAAGAAAGGGAAATAGAAAAAAAGATGGGAGAAGCAGAAGAGCAAAGAATGGAAATGGAAAGAAATAAAAATGAAAGAGAAGAAAAAGCAACAATAAAAGCAAGAAAAATGAAAGACAAAGATGAGATAGGAGGAGAAGAAAAGGATACAAAGTCAAACAACAAGGAGAAAACAAGGGGAAAAAGAAACAATGACAATTGTTTCTTAATAGTCTTTCAAAAGACAGGTGCACAAAAAATAATACGATTGAGGGGGGAAGTTTGGCAAGAGGGAGAATGCTGTCTAATACTGTATGTCTCTCAATTAAGCCAACCTGCTGGAATCGATTCAGCCCATCTTGGATCAGATGCTGGATAGTCGTCAATCAGTTCCTGACTTAATGATGTTACAGACATATCAAGACCACTATCTTCAGATGAAAACAACTTGGAACATAGAGTCTGAGCTTCAATCTGAAATGCAAGACCATAATCAAATTATTGGCCAGATTTTTTGACAACAAAATAGCAAAAAGTCCAAAAATCCAGTGATAATTTCATTTTGTAAGAGATAGTTAAGAGATATGCTTTAAGCTTTTACGGCTATTTTATGTATGTTTTAGACAATGTACATGTAAAAYACATGTATTATGTTGAATAAACATGGTACAATTTATAGTTTAACTTACWATTTTTTGTTGACAAAAGAGTAGAAATGCTTCTTTAAACTTGCTYGCYTCGTTATCTAAAGACTCYCCATCAACAAAATCATGYGATAGTGAAATCTCTGGTAATGTGCTTTGAGTGACCTAGTTGTGAAATAAGATTAATTTTAACAGTATAAAATTAAGGCAAAATAACTTACTAATGTTCCTTAAAAATCATTAACAACTGAGGATACCTTTACTTCACCCAAGGCATATATAAAGGATACATGATAAGAACTAGAGAAAACTGAATACTAAGAGAAATATCACTACTGAAAAGCAAATACAGAATGACGTACATGTACCTCTGGAAATACTGATCTTGACATTGATAAATCAGTCTTTTGGCTACAAGAAGAAAAATTCAATGTGAATTACAAACAGTCCTTTGTCATTCTGAAATAGCTACAGAACTGAGATTATTTTGCGGCAATGTGAAAGTCTAAAAGTTCATGACTCAGAAGCATCTTTGAAATGCACTTTCAAAAGCTTTGTATACTATAAGCCATTACTAATGCATTTACGCTTGCTACATCAAGAAAACTATTTCTTTTTTGATTGTTTTTAGGTTAAATAACACCAGTCACTTATACCTCAGTAGATCATCAGAAACAGTGACATTCAGGACTCCATTTTTCCTGGAGAAAAACAAGGCCTTGTTTTCCAAAATACCTAAACACGGAAACAACACWGTGTGATATGTTTAAGCAATAAATAGCACATTTACATTGTGTTCCTGGTGAAATTAACCATGTGGAATGTTGTGAGAACACGAAAAAGGCGTATATCTCACCTGCACCAAGAATACTATCCCCAGGAGTATTAAAGTCTATCTTGTTGATGATATCATCAGTTTTGTATGCTGCAAATGGGACACAAATATTATGAAAATAATAAATTGAGTAGATAATATAATATAAGACAAGTGCTTTCTGATTGGTTGAAAACCAAAAATCATTATTTTTCCTTTGCAAGAAAATCATGCAAAAGTTCTCCAATGCATGTGGGGACTTTAGAGGTTTTCAAAAGCTGCTTGATATCGTTTATCCTCTATAACTGTAATGATTAATTGACTATTGGCTCACCTGGTACACATATGATGGAGTTGGCTGTATAAACAAATCCTGTGCTGGTAAATTTTGGAAGCAGCATCTTATAATTCAACAACTGCTCTTTACAAGATGGCTAGATAAATCAATCAATAGATTACTTAAAAAGCAGTGTACTGTGTGAAGAAAAATGAACTTGAAGGGCATCTATATCTTACAGACACTAGAACCATGATACAGTTRGCTAATAAAATATCAGTACAGCTAAATTCTACAGAACTATACTAATACCTTTGTTTTCCATTGTTGTCTAAACCAAACTATTTAACACAATTAATGGTACTTTTTCATGTTTTTAGTCTTTGTACTCAGTGTCATTTCAAATTGAATTTACTTACTGAGTATTGCTCTGAAAACTGAATCACATTGACAGTGGTAAGACATTGTGGTTCTTCTGTACTATATGGTAAAGTTCCTACAATAAAAAACAGTTACATTATGTAMATTAAAATAGATTAGATTCCTCATCTCAACATAGGACAGAAACCATTTACAGGACAAAAAGTAGAGACATGAAGAGTTGGACRGAGCCTCCTCTGCAGGCATCAGTAACAATCACGGGCTTCCTGTCTATTTTGCGAGTCAAAAGAGGGAGAATTGGGGCGAGAGAGAGGGTGCCCAAGATGACCATTACAAAGGAAGCCCAAAGGAGGAAAAAGGGGTTGCCTGGGGAGGAGGATAAGTTAAACATATTCACACTCTGGGAAGCTAAAGTTTGACCAGCAAAAGCATATTTTAGTTTGACAAAAAAGAACTTTTGTTCACACGATGGACCAGCAATTTTGAGCAGATATTGTAAACCTCAATGAAACTTACCAAACATGTAGAAGAATGTTGTGTGTGATGGACCTTTGAGTGCAACAGCAGCAAGAATAACAATACCATCGCTGTAAAACCATATCAAACAATTATAAAATCTTACTAACTACTACTGCTAATGCAGGATTGTGCCAATAGCATGGGTTCTGATGGGGATTCTAATCCAATTTTCCAAATCCCCAAACTTAATGTAGTAAAAGCTAGCTTCCAGCATAATATTATGTGCTAAAATTTTAATCTAATTCCCATTTTTCTCATGTTTTTTTGTTGTTAACCCCAGTGTCATTAATGTAAAAAGGAATTAGACCAAAATGGGTTTCTAATTGAGCTGTATATAGCTGTGTCTGCCCAAACATCTAATGTTATAGCACGTACCTAGAATTACAGATATCTAAGCACCATACAGTGAGCTGATCAATGGTCTCCATRGAAACCTAAACAATACATATATAACAATTGAACTAGTAACAGCACCAAAAGCAKAAGCAACAATAACARCAGCAGCAGCAGAGCAATAACAGTGCCAGGTGTAACAACATCAGCAGCAATGGCAACAGCAACACAATAACAGCAACAACAATAACAACATCTACTGAAAGAAACTACCAAAATATTAAGAATCTATCTATAGCTGAATGACAAATGACTAAGTTGATAAAGTTCTGATGAAATAAAAACATCAAGATACAGTACAGATGAATTATATCCGTGATTACATACCTCCAATGCCTGTGATGCAGCTTTGGTAAACATATTCTCACAGTCACATTGATAAGATAACTGAGGAAAAGATTTGAAAACAGGATTATGAAATAATCATTATCACTTGTCCATCTGAATATCAGTCCAACTGTCTGTCTGTCTGTTGGCAGAATGTCTATTGTTAAATCTACTGTCTGACTGTCTAATCATTGTCTACTACACTCATGTACATGTACTGTTTGCTTCTGTCTTTCCATCCACAGTCTGTCTATTTCACATAATTTGTTGTCTTCTGTCTGTCTTCATACATGTACCTTTTCTTGTATGGTTGTTGGTGAAGTGATTTGTATTTCCCATTGAGCCAGTTGGTTACCACTGAGAACATACACAACCCTACCAGAAAATATACTCAAATCAGAATTGACATGGTACAAACATTAACAAAATAATAAACATAAAAATAAAAAAATCTTACATAAGTATACTCCATGAACTTCACAATCAACAAACAGACACAGGGACAAAATAATAACTTTACAGAGACTRCTTCAAGCAAAAAACACACAACACAAGAAAGTACCTTGAATGCTCTCTAACAAAGTCACTGACAAGAACCTTTCTTAGAGTCTAACAAAACCAATTGAAAATGTTAAAACTTAATAAATAACCACTTTTTGATGTTGTTCAGAAGTTAAGAAAATTTTTTTGTGTATTTGTAAAAAGTCTTACTGTTGTTTCATCTGATGACTGCTGAGAACCAAATATCAGTGACGTCATTCTTCGACCCAAGATGGAGAACATCCCTCCTGATGCTTTAAGGGGATGCACCTCAAGTGACTTCTGTTGGTAAAAAGCATTTTATTACATTGTAACTCAGACCAAGCACAAGAAATACATACAGCTGATGCGACGGGGACTTAGTAAAGACACTGCAACTCCGACGAAGGATTAACGTCCGAAACGTCAGTAAGTTATTTCACATACTTTTTTTACGGTGTTAAATTTATCTTTTTACATAACTGCAAAAAGGTGTTCACTTTTATATATCTATCTTTAGGTTAACCATTAGTAAAGAAAACGTTCAAGTTGTTTACTCTGGCATCATGTCACCAAGCAACCAGGATTCCTGTGAAACAGCTAAACATACCTTTGTAGGAATGACCATCATCAGTTCATTTGCACTTGTAAGTAAAAGACCACCACATAGTTGTTCATACTAATGAAAAAAATACAGCATTGCTCATAATAAATCACTGCGTAATCATTTAAAAAAATGTAGGATAAGTCGCACACAACTCTTTTCCTCATTGACACCAGTCCCTCTCTTCCCACAGGAAGCCCAAAAGGAGAGTGACAAGAGAAATAGAAGTAGAATAATTGCCTACAGAGGATACTAGTATCAATGCACAATTCTCATACCTGGAAAGCAGTGAGAGAGTGCGAGGGATGACCAGCTAAATCAAGGTTCATTTCAATACAGTTACCATCCTGCGCAAGGCTGGGCCAGTACCTTACCACGCCCTCAGGGGACACCATCATAATAGCTATTGATCCAGCACTGCCMRCACTAGCTAACTGGACACTTGGAAGAATAGTTACCAGATTAGCAGTGTGATAAAGCTCTGTRGTTGGTAATGATAGCTCCTTRCAGTAAAGRCTCTGAAAAAGGAAAACAATTAAATGAAAAAAGATGAATATAACATTTACAACTTTCAATACTCAGGTTCAGTGACCACAAACAAAGCACTGAATCGAGGAGTCAAGGAATAATGAGCACAGATCTTTTCATTTATGCTCACTGTACCTTGATGTCTCAATTCATGGCTTTCTTTATGCTCACTAAATCTGACAATAGAATAATTACATGTCATATCACAACACAATAAGAAAAATTATTGGATGGTCATTTACAAGACATGGAGATATCGACTGAAAGTCATTGTTCAACATATTGCAAATGTACCTTGAAACTTTGAGATGAAATATATCTCCAAACRAATAGCTTTCGGCCACTGACCAGCCATGCCCATCCRGACTCATGTAGTTTGACACTGGTGTACTGGGATGCTATTCCAACTAGTTGATAAATTGARCATATTAGTCTATTAAGGTTARACTTATCAGCAATGATAATGCYTGGGCATYGGGGCCAAMAAGGATGCCTGTCCCTAGCAACGACATAGCAACCATGATAACCACCTTTCATGGCCACCAACTATCACCCATCACTACACTACATAGTAAAATAAAAGTGATTTATTCTCACCATTTCTTGCAGCCAAAGCTTCTCGTATCTGGACAGGAATAGTCAAACCAAAAGTCTCCACTCGATGAAAAGCAGTTTCTTCAAGAACTTGTCCTACCATAGATGAACGTCCATGGCTCCTACAAAAAAAATTCACGTTCCCTGAATAAATGTAAAATAACCAAAGCCTTTTAAGATGTTTCCTTACCTTCCAGAGAAAGACGAATCTAAAAACGAGCTGAAGTTCAGTGATTGTTTTGTAGTATTTGGAGTGCCTTCAGAACCCCGGTATCTCGTCCATGGAGATGCCATTCTCTTCGTTAACTATTACAGCTATTGCTAATTCTTTTTAATCCTCTGAAGAGTTATTATTTTGTCAAAGTATCAAAAATTGTCGTAATTTTACAAACCATGCAGACCGTCCGCCATGTTTAGCAAAACCGCGCTTCAGAAAAGAAGCCATTTGATTGGTTCATTCATTGTAGCACATGATTAAAGTGGAACACCGCTGATCTGTGCTGTCAGATGAATTTTCGAATTTGGAAAAAGTACTAGATGTGAGCTTGGCTTAAATTATCTTTGGAAAATCAACGTAAAACGGCACAATCATGTATGATAACCAATTGATACCCGTCATTTTAAGTCCTATGTGATTTCTGTATGCTAGGTATAGGTGTAAATGCACTKAATGAGCTGAAATCTCTCATCAGATCAGACCATGCTTGCAAGTCATAAAATGGATCGAGAAAAATATAATCGTATTCGAGAGAGATCTGACAAGATTAGTTCGTTGATGGGGCAGTATTTACTTCGAGGATATCGTATGCTGGGAGCGTGCTGTGAGAAATGTGATGTAAGTTAACCTTTAATATTATACATGGCTACTGTAGTAGAAAAACGGCAGATGATAATGATTGATTGATTGATTGACAGATCCTTCATTTGATGGACAGACTGATCATCAAGCAATATCAAACAACATTGTTGGATGTGAACATATTTTATCGTTTGGCGACATTGTTTGATAGTGTTGGATGCTGTTAGGTAGAGCATGAATRTTGGAGTCTTTTTTCCACTAAAAAAATTGATTAAATGATCATTCAATAAATGTTTGGTCTCTCCGAACATTACTTGATGGTGTTTGGTGATCAAACATTTCTCATTGAAAGATGTCAGACATCAAAGTACTGAGTCAAGTGTTTTTTTTTCTTCAAGACTGTATTGTTGAAGTTTCGCGATGAACCAGAGTACTGTATTGGATGTCAAGAGGTCGATGTCAGAATGAATGATGTTCAAAAAGAAGGTAATAAAATAATCCACAAGGAGGTGAAATAACAGGGTACCAAAGGGAGTTTCATTTGAGTTGTGAGTCATTCAAAATATGGGCTTAAAGGGACATGGTCCACCAGCATTCAACGCAGTTGTGTTTTAGATTGGAAAATAAGGTGACCTTTGAATATTCATTACCAATCAGTTTCCATCCATCAGTTTAAAGGTCAAATCTACGGTATCTCCACTCATATAGTATAAATGATAACAAAGCACTAGTACATTTATCGATTCAAAAATACCTGTGTATGTACGTTTCTAAATGTTATTTCTTTCGTTTTTGTTTTCGTTGTTTTGTAATTATGTTATTCAAGTATCTTATTGTAAATGTAATGTCACTAAAATGTAATGAAATTTTTCTAATGTAAATAAAAACTCTATTAAAAAAAAGACAGAAAAAAAGGGATAATAAAGAGCAAGTTTTGCTTATATTACAATGTAATAACATGAACAAAAGCCCGAAAGGGATGCTTGTGGACCATGTCGAAGTCAAATAATTTTCAATATCAGTGATGACGATTCTTGATTCTTATAACCAGATGTTACAGCTGTAGATAACTGCAAGTGGGGGGCTGAAAGATTAATAGATTTTTTAATTGGATTGTGAAGAATTATTTTTGCTTCATTAATTTTTCCAAGAATGGCTGTAAATATAAGGATTCCATTTCACTACTTAGCAGTAATTCAATTTCTAGCATATGATTGTATTTTGTTACTTTTCTCAGCACYACAACCTGTAATTGAATCTCCTAAAGCCTCAAGCATTCCTGTAGAACGTGCATTTAACTCAGAAGATCAACTCAAAGAAAAAAATCACTCAACAGACATTGCAATGCAATCAAAATCAATAACAACTGCAATCAGCAGTCTTGATGAGAAGATTCTTTGGGCAAGCAATGCGCTGAAGAACTGCTCCTCAGTAGAGGAATCAATTCGCTACTGTGAACTCTTGAAATCTTGTGCAGAAGCTATCAAAGCACTAAGGGACACAGAGTCRATTTAATCAACGATAAAGGCAGTGAATCCATAAAACAGGATCTTGTGGCAACTGAGTAATAATTTGGGCTTCCTGTGTCCATAGGATGAGAGGAAATGAGGAGAGGTTGTAAAAGGAAATCATTTCCAGACCCCACAAGACCTAATACTCATGATAATGAAATACAACAATAAAGTTTCTTTTTACAGTTTCATAATTAGCCATAAAATAGAAACTTTTGAATTATTTACAATATTTACAATAATACTAATTTATACAGAACAATACATTTGTTGAAATGTTATAATATTATTATTTTGTGAGTGCTGACTGCTGACATTTTAAAATATACTATAAGAATTTTTTCTACTCCAAGCAGTCTTCAATCACTTGAAGTGGGAAATGTGATAAGATGGGAAAACTTGACGTGCAGAGGGTAGTGAGAAAATTGGGTTGGAGTGATTTACATGAGCTTTGCCACATGTGAGTTTGTTGTCTGAAATTAGCTTGAGTTCATCAATAGTCTCTTTTAAACTGTCCTATGGCTGTATCTTTGCAACATGAGATGATTTGTGAGCTTGCAATGTTAGATATCTTTATCATTATAAGCTTGCCGGCACTCTTGTTACAAAAGTACAGCCACCATGGATGGTGCAGTGATCTCCTAAATACATAGACACCATGTAATGCAAACTGGTTTCAGTATGCAAGTAGTTCTAATTTATTAGCCCTCCATATAAGAAGGACTGGCGTAGATAAATAAGACGTTGCAAATTATGTGACAGAGTGCTGGTATATTGTAAATATATAAGGCTGTCTGATCACCATAAATAAAATTTGTATTCTCCACGCGTTTATTTGAGTACTGATAAGAATTTATACTAAGTATGATTATGTCTGAAAATGACTGAGGAGGACATACATAACCAGTTTATTTCATTCCTACATACGAAAGAAGATAATTTATCTTGCGGTTATCAATTATCTATGTCGTTCACGACTGACTTGAAACTCAAGAGAATGAGGAAATATTCAGTTCAAACCTCTTTCTCCGAAACCCAGGGGCGTTTGGGTGGGGCCGGCAGAAATTTGAGCTCCGCGAGCTAGTGACCCCACTCAAAAGCCCCTGGGATGCCGAGTACGATTGTAAAGTTATCTTATATCCACAATGGACACTGATGGGCGCGCCGAGTAAATAACAGTGATGTATATGTTATTTTGATAAAGAATCATATTTAGCCATTATTCGCGTGTCTTGTCCAACGACACCATAGTTAATGACACATACCAGGTAGACAGCCTTATGTCCAGAACTTGTCTAGATTGTTCGGTCCTTGAACGTTTCGGCATCTTCATCACCTCTAAACCTACTTTTGTACGAGCCAGTTGAAAACTGAGATGAATCACTAGGTGGTCTACATCGTCTWTGACTAGACCTCGACGAAAAAACCCCTGTTCCTCCTCGGGGAAACATCTCCTTCAAGCAAATGTTCTTCCTCAAGACGTGTTTKTCGAAGATCAGTTTTATAGTTCTTTTCATGTCGTTGTTTCTATACGAGTACAGGAAGGGATTGAYGGCACTGCTACTATAGTGCATCCATTTAACAAATCCAAGTAGCCGCTGGTTTGTCAAACGATCGGGAAATAGCTCTAGATGAAATGTTGCTGCCATTGTTAAACTAAACAACGGTAACCATGCCAGCACAAATAGAACTGTTATCAATCCGACAGTTAAAGAGAGACGAATTTCCCTCGCCAACATAGCGCGGCTTGCTCGATGTCTCATTAAAGACGCTCCGGGATTCGCTTTWGAGCGACGAAACACGAAAATGTAAGCGATAATTATAATGACRGCAGGAAGGAAGAAGAAAAGGGTTGCGTTAAGCATCGTGTACACCTTCTCCCAGCTTCGATACTGCAAAGGCTGCAAGGATGCAATAATACCAGCAAACAACCAAGCACCTGTACAACCAATGTAAAATATCTTTTTTGATAAGACCTTGTGTTGTATGGGCTTCATAACAGCATGACATCTTTCAATGCTTATTCCCGTCAACTGCAGAATCGACGCAGCACCAATAAAGATATCCGCAGTAATATAAACCTGATAGGCGTAGAAGTCAATGTCTTGGTTATTGTACTGACAGTATGAGACGTAGATCCACATAGGCAGTGCTATAATACCAACTAGAAAGTCTGCAGATGAAAGACCTATTATTAAAATACTATGAACGGCTCTTAGATGTGCGTTCAAAGCGAACGCGCCAAGAATCAGTCCATTTCCAGCGATGACGGCCAGCATCAATGCAACGTAGAACAATACAAACACTGCTTCCTCGGCGGCGGTCACTTCAACGTGGGACGACGCAGAGTAGTTTTGAACTAACATAGAAGAATTAAGGTCTTCAAGAGGCATTATGAGAAGAACCAATTAAACTTRRTGTATGGCTGTGCTACGAGTGGTCGAATTAGACCTCTTCTAGTCTTTCTATACCAACAATATATCGGYTTCTTGCTTCTAAGCATCAACCTTAAAAAAAAGAGAACTATATTAAAAACTAACTCCAGT